ACTGCTGCCAATGTCTTTTGCGTATGGTTTTATGCATGCATCTATGGGTTTGCATTCAAAATGGACTAATCAAGGAGAAGGTCAAAAACTGTTTCATTGTTTCCCTACCCTCCTTATCTGCATGCACACCATGCCATTTAATGTCCCATCCCTTGTCATTTACATCCAATTGTATTCTCCAAACACTTTGCAACACTTACTCTGCACGTTCTAAATCACTCATGGAATGTGATTATCACCAACTGGGCCAGCATTTATTACCCTTGAGGAGGTGGTGGTGAGGTGCCTGCTTGACTGCTGCACTCTATTTGATGTAGGCAGACTCACACAATGCTATTAGGGAGGGAATTCCAGTGTTTTGACTCAGCGGCATTGAAGGAACGGTGATATATTTCCACACCAGGATTCCAAGTGGCTTCCAGGGGACATTACAGGTTCTCAAACTTACTGGCCTCATGCCATAGTGTGGAGCTGCAGGAACACAGAAGGCCAGGCCCAAAATGTTGGCTTTCCTGCTCCTCTAATGCTGCCTGGCCTGCTGTGTTCCTCCAGCCTGCTGTGTTATCTCAGACTCCAGCATCGGCAGTTCTTACTATCTCTGGCCTCATGCCATGCTGTGCTGAGACTGACAACACCAGACTAGCCCTCGACTTGTGCACAAACACTGCTTGATGCCCCATGACAGCCCTGTTGATACAATGCCACGGTGTCCCTAACCCTGGCAGATCCAAAGAGGTTGTTCACATGTGTGTGTGCGCCACTGGAGTCAGCAATGCAGGCAGAACCTATGCTTACCAACCTCCTGAAATCTCCGATCTCCTTGGTCTGTTGGGAAAGTCTAATGTTGTCACCACTTGCAATAAGCACCTCCCACTGATCCCAAAGAGGAGACCCTGCAAGGGGTCATTGCTAAACTGTAGGGCTGCAGGTTATCTGTCCTGCAACATTTTGGGTGGAGGATAGATGACATAGGTGACAGCTGATCTAGCACTGTGCAGTTTGGGTGGGAGTCACATAGATGACAACAGGAATACAATGGGGTATGATTTTGGTGGGGCAGTGATAGAGCTGACAGCACTAAAGTCCAGCGGGATGTGGAGATGCTAGGGGTCCAAACAAAAAGGTAACATTGGAGAAGATAATGAAGGTCAATTCAATATCAAGTTAAGTTCTGCTCCTGCCTGCAGCTACCTTAAAACTGACCCAAAACTTTGAGGTTGTCAGTTGACAATGGTTTTGGGCACTTCCTTCCTGTTCCTTCCCACATGATTGGCTACCGCCAGCCCTTTAAATTTGGAAACATCGCCAACTCTGTTTTTGCCTTTGAGAAACTCAAGTGTCAAAAATCAATTTCCGTCCATTAACTCTGTTTCTCTCTCCACAGACAGTGCTAGACTAGCTGAGCATTTCCAGCATTTTTAGTTTTTACTTCTGACTCCAATAGGGTCAGCAGTTTTACAATGCTGCAACCTTCACAATTCGTAAAAAATTGAAGACGTTTTTGCTAAAATGACCCACAGCTGAAGTCATACTCAATAATTTGATGATCATTTGGTAAGAAGCTGATAATTCAAACAAAAACAACATAACTGAAAAACAGCCCTAAATAAAGACTTGTTACCAAGATCACTGCTTTAAGAGAGTTGAGTAAACTGAAGTGCTAATTTTAACCATTGGATTTCACAATTTCTATTTTGGAATAGTGTTCATCAATTAGACTCATAGAGTTTTACAGCACGGAAATAAACCCTTTGGTACAACTCATCCATGCCGACTGGGTATCCTAAATAAATCTAGTCCCATTTGCCAGTATTTGGTCCATATCACTCTAAACCCTTCCTATTCATGTACCCATACAGGTCCCTTTTAAATGTTGTAATTGTACCAGCCTCCACCACTTCCTCTGGCAGTTCATTGCATACACACACCACCCTCTGCGTGAAAAAATTGCCCCAGGTTCCTTTTAAATCTTTCCCTTCTCACCTTAAAACTGCACCCTCTAGTTTTGGACTCCCCTACCTTGGGGAAAAGACCTTGGCTATTCACCTGGTGGTCTTAGCTAATACTCATAAAAAGAAGTTACAACGGAGGGTACAGTGGAACTTATTTCCCCTTTATCTGCAACAATATTTGATTAGTTGCAGTACATGTAGGAAAAAAAGGAGCACACGTGGATTTTGTTGTCATAGTTGATTTCAATACTTTAAAATGGAATTGAGTTCTGATAGTGCAAAATTTATTTCCTATTGAATGATATCCCACTAGAAATTTTGACTGGTTACCATTCCTGGTGTTTTCTCATCCCCTGGGCTGTGTAGTTTGGTTTTAGCTTCTGGGATCAGTCTTCTTAGACAAACAAACTGGATTGATGAATATGATTCCAAAACATAAATTGAAATTGCGAAATCCAGTGTTTTGAGTAACATCTTTCTGCAAGCCAGTCTCTGCATTGTTCCAAACAACTCAGTGCAGAATGTTCCACTTCACTGCAGAAAGTATTACTGCCCTGCTAGTTAGGAGTTATTCCTTATTAGTAGCATTAGTGTGTTCTATTCCAAACATCTATGGCTCGAATTTCTGGCTACCATTATATAAACTATTGCTCTATTTTTAGAGAC